ACCAACAACAGTGGAGCTTTGATCACACTATCCTGGTTACCACCTTGGCATTTCTGACTATACCCTGCAGATACCCCTCCCTGGGGGCAGGGCTGTAAAATGTGTCTGTATCGCTCCACAGACAGACAGCTGTCGCATTTTCCAGCTCTAAGGAACTGCCCTTCCTCCGTCCCACGATGCCGAACGATAAAGGAGAATATTCGTAGCACAGGATTGAAATGAGAGGGTCTTTGTTGCTCTCTGGGCTTGCTCCTGTTCTTGCAGACGTTTCATGACCCAAACTAGGTAACATCATCAGTGCTAGAAGGGAGTGAGGTTTGCAAAGAGGACCGTGGGGTCCTTGGTGCTCTCTGAACTTGGTTTTTTTCTTGCAGACGTTTCATCACCCAACTAGGTCACATCATCAGTGCTACTGTAGTAAGGATTGGGGTCTGCTCTCGTTTTACATTCTAAACAGCCCAACCAGAGAGCCTCCGAGACCGTTCCCACAAACGCTGACAGGGCAAGGATATAAATGGAGAGCGAACCCCCATCCCTTACTAGCACTGATGACATTACCTAGTTGGGCGATGAAACGTCTGCAAGAAAACAGGCTCAAAGACCACCAAGAGTCCTTCCAGTCATAATCTCCAGACGTAGCCTGTCCTGATCCACCCTAGAAAAAAGTGGCTTAGCACGTTTACAAGATCCCCAGTTATAAATAAATAAAAAAAGTGACTATAAGGAGGAAAATGTCAAAAAGTTACCAGCAGACCAAAGCAGCAGGGAGGTGCTGTGCATTGGCATATTAAAAATAATAAAAATGAGAAAGATGGAACGAAACAGCCAGAAAAAAAACAGCATAGGATGTGTTGCTGTAGGTCATGCTTTTTTGTAGTGAGTAATACGATAGCCGCCTTTTCCACCCGTATACTCAAATAATTCTGTTGATTTCACAGGATGATATGCGAAAGTCATGAAATGCACGAAGAAGAGAACAGTAGGGACAGAAAGCCAGTTTGGGAGAAATGCTTGGTTATGGCCCTTGGGGGAAGAAGCTTATTCTAAAGCAGTGGTTCTCAACCTTTTTAATGCTGCGACCCCCAACCGGTCGTAAGTCGAGGACTACTCAATGGGTGCAGCACCGTTTGCAGAATGGGACCTTTGGCGGGCTCAGCAGGGCAGAGACAACCTGGACAATTCCTATTGGCTTTGGAAAGCCAATAGAATTAGACTCTATTCAAGAGAGTCTATTCTATTGGCTTTCAAAAGCCAATAGAATAAAAGGGAGGAGCACAGCTAAGGAAAAGGGGGAAAAAATGGCGGACTGTGTTGTTTGGCGACCCCCGTGAAATGGTCGTTCGACCCCAAAGGGGGTCCCGACCCACAGGTTGAGAACAGGTTTGGGAAGAGCAGGAAAATGAGAAACGTGAGCCGAGGAGCGTATTTTGCATAGCACACATACAGCCGCTGGAAAACAGCACCTGCTGGCTTTGCTACGGGCGGAAGGGTAGGGCAGGAATCAGGGAAGACAGATGAAGCAGATTGATTCCATCTGGGAAAAAAAAAAGGCATTCCATGCTCAAAAGTAAAAAAATAATAATAATATTGCAGAACACTCGAGAGGGCATTCCGGGGTCAGAAATATTGGTAGAACGAACATACTTCCTCTCATTTTTCCATCCCTGCTGCGGAAAGTTGAATAGAGCTGGAAGGGACCTTGGAGGTCTTCTAGTCCAGCCCCCTGCTCAAGCAGGAGAACCTACACCATTTCAGACAAGTGATTGTCTAGTCTCTTCTTCAAAACCTCCAGTAATGGAGCACCCACGATTTCTGGGGGCAAGCTGTTCCACGGGTTAATTGTCCTCACTGTTTTCCTTAATTCCAACTGGATTCTCTCTTGAATGTTTCCAACCATTATTTCTTGTCCTTCCCTCCGGTGCGCTGGTGAATAATTTGATCCCCTCTTCTTTGGGGCAGCCCCCTAAATACTGGAACGCTGCTAGCTGCTATCTTGTCTCCCCGTTTCTTCTTTTCTTCAGACTAGCCAAACCCAAGTCCCGCAAGCCCTTCTTCGTATGTGTTGTGATGTCTGTTTTCTTTAAAAAAAGCAAACTCATATAACCCGTGACCGAGCCCTGAGTTCTCTTCCCATTCGCACCGATTGCTCACTTCCGATTCCCCTATTTTGATTGTTCAGCCCATTGTAGAAACGGCAAGCTGTAATTCCCCGGTTGCTCAAGAGAAGATGCTGTTTGCTGGGGGGGGGGGTGGTGGTGGAGGGGGGCAGCTCCTCTTCCTCCCTAGCCACAGGGTCCGTACCCTCTTGGATTGTTTAGAAAGCAGAGCAAAACTTTCAAGGCCCCCCCATCGTTATTCCCAGACCCCCGCCAAACTCCAGCTCTTAACGTTTAAGGTTGCTTTTCAGCCACTTCTTCAAGTCCTGAAGTGTTAGAACTGGACTCTCCACATCAAAAGCACGCCGGTTGGTTTCCACTTGTAAACTCCACCTGTGGTTGGTAAAGGTTTTTCCCTTTTCTTTTTCTGGTAGGGGTACTAATCAAAAAGTACGACTCAAATAAAGCCAAGACCACACAACATGACCACATCTTAAATCAGATCCACACAACGGTATTTGCATCTTTTCTGGGGGCTTGGGGGGCTAGTGAGGGTTGTTTAGGCTGTTCTGGGGTCCTAAACACATTTCAATTTCTCTCTTCCAGAAGTACCCTTTTAAAAAAAAAAGACTGATTCACATGTTCCACTGTAGTTAGTCCTTGACTTACAACAGATAATAATAGTAATAATAATAATAATAAAGTTGGAAGGGACTTTGGAGGTCATCTAGTCCAACCCCCTGCTCAGGCAGGAAACCCTATACCATTTCAGACATTTAGTGATTGTTCAAAGTTTACAACGGCACTGAGAAAAAGTGATTTATGAGGGTTTTTCCACACGTATTTCCCCACGGTCACGTGATCAAAATGACTCATATTTATGACCGTTGCAGCGTCCTGGGTCATATGGTCCCCTTTTGTGACCTTACAACCAAGTCAATGGGGAAGCCAGATTCAGTTAACGACGTGTTATTATCTTAACAACTGTAGTGATTCGTTTAACAACCGTGGCAAAAGAAGGTCATACAAAGGGGCAAAATTCACTTAACAACGGTCTTGCTTAGCCACAGAAATTTTGAGCTCAATCGTGATCCTAAGGCGAGGACTCCCTGTAGGCAGTTGTGGTTCAAAGAAATATGAGAAAGTGTCCTTGCAGCTTTTCACAAGAGGTGCTTGCCTTAGAGCTGCTTCTGGGTGTTGAAAGGAACGTCGTACAGTCTCTCAAACATCTGCAGTCAATGCGTTTAGTATTTTCGTTTTCTGCTTTTAGAGTTCCTCTTTTTTTCTTCCTCTCTACAAATGAATGAGCCTTCTGTATTTTTAGATAATGCCACTCCTTGGTGGCCTTAACTTAATGATTGAGCATGACTTTATGGTTCTTCCTTTCTTCCTCCATCCCTCTATCTATCTATCTATCTATCTATCTATCTATCTATCTATCTATCTATCTATCTATCTATCTATCTACATCCATCCTTCTAACCGTCCGTCTGTCCATCATCTATCCCTATTTCTATCCCTCTTTATCCATCTGTTTTATCTATCCATCTATTGTATCGATCATCTAGCCATCTATCCCTCTACCCTTCCATCCATCCCTCTATGGCTCCATCCACCCATCTGTCCCTCTATCCATTTCTATCCACCCCTCCATCTTATCTATCCATCCCTCTATCCTATCATCTAGCCATCTATCCCTCTACCCCTCCATCCATCCCTCTATTGCTCCTTCTACCCATCCGTCCATCATCTATCCCAATTGTCTATCTATCCATCCCTTAGTGAGTCTATCCCCCTATCTCTCTCTCTATCTCCATCCCTCCCTCTATCTTCTATCTGTTTCTATCTCTTCTGTCCGTCTGTCCATCTCTGTGTGAATGGATGGATTATTGGTATGCCAGGCATATGTATGTTGTTGTTGTTGTTAATTGCGAAGTCGTGTCCGACCCATCGCGACCCCATGGACAACGTTCCTCCAGGTCTTCCTGTCCTCTACCATCTTCTGGAGGCTATTTAAGTTCTCACCTACTGCTTCAGGGACTCCATCCAGCCATCTCATATGTATACACGTGCACAAAGACATAAATGGAGGTGCTTCTATCTATCTATCTATCTATCTATCTATCTATCTATCTATCTATCTATCTATCTATCTATCTATCTATCTATCTATCTATCTTTTTCTTTCTTTCTTTCTTTCTTTCTTTCTTTCTTTCTTTCTTTCTTTCTTTCTTTCTTTCTTTCTTTCTTTCTTTCTTTCTTTCTTTCTTTCTTTCTTTCTTTCTTTTAAAATACTAAAAATGCGACTCCTGGGCATTATGCTAACAAATAAAAGAAAAAACGAACACCAGGATATATTAAACAGGCTGGTTTATTATATCCTGTGCACAATCTCACTAGGGATTTTTTTATATATATATATATATATATATATATATATATATATATATATATATGTGTGTGTGTGTGTGTGTGTGTGTGTGTGTGTGTGTGTGTGTGTGTGTGTGTGTGTGTGTGTGTGTGTGTGTGTGTGTGTGTGTGTGTGTGTATATATGTGTATATATGTGTATATATAAATGTATATATGTGTATATATGTGTATATATATATATGTATATATATGTATATACACACACACACACACACACACACACACACACACACACACGCGGGGGGGGGGAGAGAGAGAGAGAGGCGAAGGGAGGAGGCAGGAAAGAGAACTCGGAGGCCCGAGGGGCGGGGCCGCCGGCGGGGTTTCCCGGCCGCGGCCGCAGGGGCGGGGCCTGCGCGTGCGCGCCGGCCGGGAACGCCCTCCCTCCCTCTCCCCCGCCCGCCTGTTTGCCTGCCTGCCTGCCGCGCCCAGGCGAGACGACGCTGCCTCCTCCTCCTCTTTTTTTTTTTCCCCTCCTCCTCCTTCTTCCCCCCTCGCGACTGCTCCGGCCTCGTCTTCGTCTCTCCCCCCCCCTTCATCCTCAGGCCAGGCAGGGCGCGTTGACGACCGTGAGGAGGACTGCGCGCACGGACGGACGGCGCCCCCGAACGTGCCCGCCCGAGCGACTTCTCGGCGGGGCTCCCTTCCGTCGTCGTCTCTTCTCGCTCGCTCGCGCTTCTCTCGCTCTTCCATCCCCGTCGTTGCGGTGGTTGCCGCGGCCGCCGCCCTCGGTCCTCCGCGGCGGGGGTCTCGGCCGAGGCGAGCGGCCTCCTCGGCCTCCCCTCGCTCGCCCCTTCTGCCCGTCGCCCGGCCGGGGAAGGCGAGAGGCGCCGGGAGAAGGTCGGCCGCGGCCGGGCGGGGGTCGCCCGGGGGCGCCTGAGGAGAAGAAGGAGGAGGAGCCGCCGCCGCCCAGGAAGGTGAGAGTGGGGGAAGGGGGGGGGCACCTCCGCTTTCCCTCCCATCCCATAATACCCCTTCCCTCCTTCAGTGCCCCAATTCCCCCCCCCCTCAGTCTGCCCCTCACCCCATTCATGCCTCCCCCCAAGGCTCCCTTTAGCCTCTGCCCCCCCCCAGAAATCCCATAATAATCTCCCACCCCCAAAACGTTAGACCATTTGTGGCCCCTCCCCCCCAGTTTGGACCCCCGTGAACCCCCTTTTCCCCCCATTGAATCCCAGGCACTGCATCTCTGGCGCCCCCCAATCCCTCAACTGCATCCCAGAAACGACAATAATAATAATAATAATAATAATATTCCAGAGTTATTTATTTTTTTTCTGATTCAATCCCCTCTCTTCTCCCCCCCCCCGGCCCCCTCACATTGAAATGCAAGCTGGATTAATTTCAATTAATTATTCCCCCCCCCACACTGCCCTGGAGCCTCTTTATCTCCAAAATGCAACTTCCCCCCCCCCCCCAACTAAAACGATGCTTTGGGGCCCTTCTTAGCATCTAGGTTTATATTAGACTATAATCGATTTCATCTGTCGGATGCTAATATATATATTCATTAAAGCCCCCCCCCCAGATCCCCATCGCTGCCTCTCCCCTGGATCTGATCAAGACCTATAAGAGCCTATTAGGGACCCCTTTGCCTCCCCCCCCCAAAAGACCCCAAACCCTTTCCCCTCCCAGACTGTCAGCCCTACTTAATATTTCCATTTTTTTGATTTTAGCAGACTTCAGTCTGCCCCTTCCATCACGATTCCTGCCTTTCATTTTGGGCCCTGTCCTTGCTGAAGAGGGCGTCTCCTTATGGAAATCCACCAGTCCCCCCCTTTTCCATTTTAGCCAAATCATGCTCCCCTGATTTTATTATTTTAAAATACCCCCCTGATACCCTCTTAAAAGGGGGAATGATACACCCTTTCCCATCCTTCGCCCTTTCCCCTTCTCCGAGATATTTTCTTCTTTCATTTTTATTCTCTCTTCCCTTTTTATTTTTAAGCCTTCCTTCCTCCCCCCCCCCCCCGGGGTGACTAAAATGTTCTTCCTTTCTCTCTTTCCCTCCATTCTTCCTTTGGCCATCCCCCCCCCCCCCGTCTGCTGCTTCTGCTTTTCTTCTCCTTTTCAAATCCTCTCTCCCCCCCCATCCCCTCCACCCCGCCATCCCACATACACACTCATAACACTGCACATCCTTTCTCTAACAACCGGTCCCCCTCCATTTTGCTCTCTCCTTCCCGGAATCTGTGGTCCTCGTTGATCCCTTCTTTTGGTCTAGAGAGGAGGGGGAAAAAAAAAAGCCTAACCTTTCCCCCCCCCCCCAGATTGCTGACATAGGGAAATCAAGAAATCGCACCACACTGCCCCCCTTTTTTTCATTGTCTTCATCACCGCCGTCCCACCCATTTCACAGCATCCGAGAAAGTCCTTGTAGGCAGAGATAGGAGGGGGGGAAAAAACAAGGGGGTCTTTTCTGCCCTGAAAAGGCAGAAAAAAGTGGGAAGAGGTGCCAAACCACGGGGGGGGGGGGGGGAAAGGCTGGGAAGAAATTTTCCAGAGCCGGTATAATGGTGGAAGATTGATGGCTTGAAAGGAATTGAAATCAGGGCTCTTATTCTAAGTTTGGGACTAAAATAATGGACATTTTCCCGCGTTCCCTCTTCCCATGGTAGGAAAAAAAAGTGATTTGGGGGTCACGGGGTGGGAAAGAAACAGCGGGGTGGTATTTTTTTTGCTGCCTTAATTGTGCAATTTGGGCTATCTTTTTTTTTTTTTTTTTAAATCCTTGTTTAAAGTTGCTTCTCTGTTTTGATAGGTGTTGTGTAATTTTTATTTTTATTTTTGCCATTAATGTTTCAGCTCATTGTGGTTGCTAAGGGGATGCAGAAGGATTATTTTGAAGGCTTTTTTTTTTTAAAGTAGTGCAAATTAAGGAAGGTGGCTTTGTGGGGGGGGGAGCAGGGTATGTTTTTAAAAAAAAAAATAAAATAAATATTGGGCTTTTTTAAATGATGGGGGATAGGGGGGAAGGCCTGGAGTTTTTGCATGGGTTTTAAAGAAACAGTAAATCTGAAGGGAACGAATTTTCTTTCCAAATTTGTCATTTCTGACAATTAGCTAAAATTTTAATGCGTGTGATCGTTTCTCACAAGCTCTTTATGTAAAAAAGATGAGTCCTGGGGATTGCCTGTTCTCTGCCTTAGACATGCAAATGTTTCTTTTGCCAAAAAAAAAGAAACACAAAAAAGACTTCCTGGAAAAAGATGGGAACCAGCAGGTGGCTGGCTGCTTTCCGGCATCTGGAGGTGGGAAGGAAACCTAGAAACACTTCCCCCCCTCCCCAAATTGAACCCCCAAATCCTTTTTTTCCTCCCCCCCCATCTTTTGAATGTGCAACCTGAAAACAGGCTCTGACACACTTTTGTGACTGATCAGAACCAAGCTTGTAAATAAACCTTTGGGGGCAAAAAAAAATGAACATGCAGGCAAAACCAGATCTCATTTTATATCCTGGTCTTTCCTTTCTGTGATTTGTTTATTTTTTATATTTTTTTGGGAGAAAGGAAGAATCAGACAAGTTAAATATTTCGGCCACCCGCACATCAGGAAGGGTGTGATTTACATGCCCTCACTGGGGTTTTTTTTCTCTCCCCCCCATTTTTTCTTTTCTTTTCTGGAAATGAATGGATGTTTTGTGCTTGGATCCTGGGAACTGCAACAAGATGGCGTACAAACATCTCTGCGTTTGCAATCGCTGCTTTACCCAGCTGAATCTTGAAGCTGGAGAGAGCTTTCTTTTAACTTTTGATCACCTTCCCCCCCCCCTTATCATTGACAGATCGTGTGCTTTGATGGGGAATTGACAAATGCTCTGATTTTGCTTTTTTAAAAAAACTTTCTCGGTTTTTCAGTTTCCTGTTAGCCACCGGGTGGGTGGAGTAGTTGACTGAAATTGTTACGGATAACAGATCAAAGGATGAAGGAGGGCAGGCCGGATTAGACCTAAGCTGTATAAGGTTCTGATTATTTATTTTGTAAAAGGTTAGCTTGGTTTTGTATGAGCATTTTATTTTTTTTTTAAGAATGGGTAGAATTTGTACCTCTTGTAAAAATTGAATTTTTGCTCTTTGCCAGTATGGGTCAGTTTCTGTAAACAGCAGTTCACCTGAAATTATTTCATAAAATAAATATCCATAGAAAAATATCTTGTTTGGGTCACTTTTCCCAAATCACATTTGATCTGTTACTTTATTGTAAAAAAATGTTGAATTCATTGGGCCTTATCTGTTTAAAACAAAGCTCAAATTCCTATTATTGGGCTCAAACAACAACAACAACAAAATCCAAAATAGTTTGCATTTGTCCTTACAGTTCAACTGATGATTGGGTTTATATTGCTGCCCTGAATACTTTAGAGGTATGACAGTCGTCATGAAATTGATATTCTTAATTTTAAAATCCAACTATTACAATTGTATGGGTTGGATTCCCAGCCTATATCTGAAGACTCATTAAGATAAACGTTTGTTTAGTAAACCTTGTTTATTAAACTTTTAGTTTAGTAAACTGAACTTTTAATGGTACGGTAGCCAAAATGCTGAACAATCAGCAAAGGCAAAGCTCATCTAATTGAAACAATATAAACAAAAGCAATGAAATTTTTTTTTTTAAAGAAGGCTTAAAACAAGCATTTTTCTGGAACAATTTAGATACGGTTGAATATTTATTTTGTTGTACTTTGATCTCCTGTTTAAACATGAAACAGATTAGACATGCATTAACACATTAATGACATAAACCATTTTCAAGTTCAATTAACCAAATATTTTATTATAGGTTTTAAAAAAATTAACGGAGCAGTAGGTGAAAAGAATTGATTAAAAATGCCTTCTTTTATTAGATTTGAGTTTGGAATTTAGACGGACTTTTCAGGGTTTGTTTCTTTTTCTATTCCTCTCCAATACTTTGTGATTATGGTGCACTTTCATTGTCAATAAATACAATGCCTTGCACACATATCTTCATATGTTCTATTTTCTTGGTTTTTGCCATATACTCTTAGGCACAATCTGATGTGAAGGCTTGTGGACCCAGATGCTGTGTATAGTAGATTTTCTGCCTATTTATTTTTGTAGCAGTTGGGTCAGCAATCTCAAATGTTAATCTTAAATCTCGAACGTTAATCTTAATTGGAAACGTTTATACTTTGAGAAAAATAATATCAGCTCTTGTAGAAAACTATCTTTTCAGTTTTGAAAAAGAAGTCTATGCACAATTGCTTGGGTTAAATCTAAAATCTGATTGAATGATGCTTAATCCAAATTGTGCTAGATTAAAAAGGAAAGCAGGGGAGTGGGTTGGGTACTTTTTTTATGGTGTGTGTGTGGGGGGGACTAATTCAACAATAAATAGGCTGTTGTGTTTATTCTGCAGGCAGTCCTTCCCTTTAACAACGGGCTTCAGCTGACAGCAACCAGCTTTGTGAAACACCAGGAAGTTACTTCCTCATTGCATGAATAGCAGACTTCTCTGGAAAATACAACTTTTTTCAAGCTCTATCTGGAGCTTGGGGAAGAGATTGTGCCTACCTTTTAGATGGATCTAGAACTTGGTTTTGAAAAATAGCCCGTTCTTGAAATGCCTGATTCTTCTCAATTATTACTGGTCTAAGGCAATTGGTTTCATTAATGCGATTGGTTTCATTAATAATGCCCCCCCCATTTCTCTCTCCCTCCCTCCCTCCTTGTGAGAACTTTTTTGGCCAAATAATCACTCTTCTTCAAAGCCCTGCAGATTTCCTTGCCTGTCTGTTTCAATTGGCTCAGATTTCAGTCCCTGAATAGGATTAAATTCTTACTATCCATGGATTTTGGCTTTGCATTAATGGATTGGTAATTGATATTCTCAATTTTAATATCCAGATGTAGCTGTGTGGCGTTCTGGGTTGTTTTCAGAGTGCTGCTAATGCTGG